CCTGTACTCCTGCGCCTGGTACTTGTGCGGGGGGCTGTCGCCTGTGACGAACGTGCTGCTGCGCTCCTTGGACTCCTCCTTCGGCGGTCCCGCGAAGCGCCCCTCCTCCAGAATGATCACCTGCGCCTGGTCTGTGTTCCTCTGCTGGATCTGTTGAATCGCCTTCTCCACCTGTGATGCCGATGGAAGCGGCGACGACGGCGCAGGCTGGGATGGCAGCTCCTCCGTGCTCTGTGACCGACTGCGCTGGACCTGGCATGGCCTCCTGCGTGAGCTCGATGATGACGTCGGGCGTCTTCGGCATCGTCGACCTCGGTGTCATGATCCTCGGCGACGTTGGCATACCCTCGGCGGCCCCGCGCTGTGGCGAGTTCGGCATGGGCAGCCCGTTCACCTTGATCGGCCTCGTCAGCTGTGCGACTGACTGCGACCAGCCCGGCAGGGGGGGCGGCCGTCGCAGCGCGTGGCGTGAGCGGCGCGGCCGCTCCAGCCGAGGCGGCCCCCTCGGCCACTGGGCGCGACGCCAAGCTGGCCGCAGCCGCTGCAGGGGCTGGCGTCGGGGCAGGCGCAGCCTGGGCCTCCCCTGCCAGGGGCTGGCCTGTGGCGCTCGACGCCTCCGCCGCCGCCGCCGCCCCCCCCCCCCCTTGCGGGCCAAGGGCCCCTGCATGGAGGCGTTGACCTCTTACGGCATCACGGGGCTGAGCATCGTCGCGACGTCGCCGTTGGTCTGGAGCTGGTTGGCCGTGATCAGCTTCATCATGTGCATGAGCTGCTGTTGCATCTGCTGCTGCTGCTGCGCCATCGCCTCTATGCGCGAGCCCTGCTCGTGCGTCAACTTGGAGTGGGCCTTCTGCAGCTCTGTCATAGCTTCGATCTCTTCGGTCACTGGTGGTAGTGAGCCATTCGCCTGGCGGTGGTAGATCTCGGCCGTGCAAGCCGACATCTCCTGGACACCCTTGCCAGACGCCTTGCCCGTCATGATCGCCTGCTGCATTTGGTGGGCTGCCGCCGAGAAGGGCCACTGCGGCGGCGCCTGCATGCCCGCTGGCATAGCGGGGGGCGCCGATGGGGGCGGCATCGGTGGCCTCGGCGGCGCCGCCTGGGGGGCCGCTTGGGCCTGGGCGCCGAACGGCGGCGGCCCTGGTGCTGCCCCCTGCGGCGGCGCCCCGAAGAGGCCCCCTGCTGGTCCTGGCGCCCATGGAGGCGTCGCGGCTGGCGGGGGGCCCGCTTGCGCACCAGCAGGCAAGGGCGCACGCCACGGTGGCTGCCCAAGTGTGGAGGCAGCAGCGCAAGCTTGGCCACCGACTTCTGCTTCTCCGTGCCACCCAGGGTGGTCATTTTGTATTTGATCCACGCTATCTCCATCTCCGCATCTTGGTCCGTCTTGTTGACTTTGGCCATTGCCTTGAGCATTGTGGCCAGCTGGTACATTTTTCTGTGCATGTCGCTCCTTCAGATCATCAACCAGTTGTCGTCCTCGGGCATCGGGTCGATATTGTTCTTGATCTGGAAGGCCCATGATGCTTCTGGTGTCATGGGGGCGATTCTCTTGACTATGCGCTCCACATCTGGATCGTTGGTCTGCTCGTCGCGAGGGCGACGGTCCCGTGGTGCCGATCGTGGTCGGCGTGATCTCTCTCCTCCTCGCTGTGCGGCGGACCTGACGACGCCGCACTTGCATGTGTCGTACTTGTTGTAGTTCCAGCGTCCACATGAGCATGTCCATGTGTCTGGTGGGGGCATCTGCCGGCTAGGATGGGCCTGGAGTATATTGACGGAATCAAGAACTGCCACGAGCAAGCGCGCGCTGGTGCGCTTCTTCCTGAGTCGGCGGTGCTAAGCTTTCTCGGGAACAGTCGTGGTCGGTACTGCATGGGAAACTGTATCAGTAAGTTTCAGACAGCACAACTCGCAGTAGGGTTGACTCTCAATCCCCTCGAGAGGTCAACGCCTCTCCTCCTCGTCCTCCTCCTCCTCCTCCTCGTCCTCCTCCTCCCCCTCCTCGTCCCCCATCCTGCCCTCGTCCTCCTCGTGTTTTTCTTTTTCCTCCTCCTCCTCTTCCCCCTCCTCCCCCTCCTCGTCCCCCAGCCTGCCCTCGTCCTCCTCGTTTTCTTTTTTTTCTTATTCTTGTCCTTCTTATTATTGTTAGGTTGCTTAGTTTCTTCTTCTTCTTCTTCTTTTTCTTCTTCTTCTTCTTCTTCCTCCTCCTCCTCATCCTCCTGTTACTCGTCCTCCTTCCTCCTCCCCCCTCCTCCTCGCCTCCGCCTCCTCCTCCTGGTCCTCGTCGTCCTCCTCCTCCTCGTCTCCGCCTCGTCCTCCTCCTCCTCCTCCTCCTCCTCCTTTCCCTCCTTCTCCTCCTCCTCCTCCTCCTCTTCCTCCCCCTCTTCCCCCTCCTCCCCCTCCTCGTCCTCCACCTTGCCCTCGTCCTCGTCTTCGTCCTCGTCTTCCTCCTCCTCCTCCTCCTCCTCCTCCTCCTCCTCCTCCTCCTCCTCCGGTTGGGGGTGGGAGAGATATCCGCTCTAAGACGGTCCCCAGACGCCTCCTGGGGTCCAAACGCCTCCGACGCTCCAGCTCCCCCCCGCTGCGGAACCCCAGGGGCCTCAACCTCTGACGACGACGACGACGACGACGACGACGGCGGCGGAGACGACGGCGACGACGACGACGACGGTTGCGGCGGCGGCGGCGACAACGACGTCCGCGCGCCGCTCTCTCGGGGCGGGGCCTCCAGGATTGTCAGAAGTCAACCGGGGCCGACAACCGGCCCCAGATGTCGGAACAACCGGGGACCACCAGACTCCGTATTGAAAGAATCACGACCCCGTATGCGGCTGTGCTCGCGGTCGTCGCCAAAACGTTGCGTCTCCCTTCCTTCCCTCCCTCTGCTAATCAACGCGAGTGAGGGTGAATAAGAACCTTTGGTAAGGCTCCCTGCAAGGCCATGGGGCCACGAAACGTGTGAGGGGTGTGCCGAAACGGGTGTGAGTGGTGCATGCCGGCGGTGGCACTGGGGCCCTCGGTGGAGCTCCTGATGGGGCCCCGAAGCGTGCAAAGGGCGTGCCGAAATGGGTGTGGGGACGCATGCGGTCGGTGTCACTGGGGCTTTCGGTGGAACTGGTACCTTCGGTGGAGGTCCTTGTAAAGCCACGAAACGTGTGAGGGGTGCTCCGAAATGGGTGTGCGTGACGCATGCGGGCGGTGGCACTGGGGTCTTCGGTGGAGGTCCCCGTGGGGCCACGAAACGTGTGAGGGGTGTGCCGAAATGGGTGTGCGTGGCGCATGCGGGCGGTGGCACTGGGGCCTTCGGTGGAGCTCCCTGTGGAGCCACGAAACGTGTGAGGGGTGTGCCGAAATGGGTGTGCGTGACGCATGCGGGCGGTGGCACTGGGGCCTTCGGTGGAGCTCCCTGTGGAGCCACGAAACGTGTGAGGGGTGTGCCGAAATGGGTGTGCGTGACGCATGCGGGCGGTCGCACTGGGGCCTTCGGTGGAGCTCCCTATGGGGCCACGAAACGTGTGAGGGTTGTGCCGAGATGTTTGTGCGTGACGCATGCGGGCGGTGGCACTGGGGTCTTCGGTGGTGCTCCCTGTAGGGCCACGTCACGTGTGAGGGGTGTGCCGAAGTGGGTGTGCGTGACGGATGCAGGCGGTGGCACTGGGGCTCTCGGTGGAGCTCCCTGAGGGGCCACGAAACGTGTGAGGGGTGTGCCGAAATGTGTGTGCGCGACACATGCGGGCGGTGGCACTGGGGCCTTCGGTAGAGCTCCCTGTGGGGCCACGAAACGTGTGAGGGGTGTGCCGCGATGGTTGTGCGTGACGCATGCGGGCGGTGGCACTGGGGTCTTCGGTGGAGGTCCATATCGTGGTAGGAGTGTGCCGAACTGGGTGTGCGTGACGCATTCCGGCGGTGCAGGGAGGAGGGGATGAGGAAGGAAGGAGGGAAGTCGGGAACGCGGGGACCGTCTCTTCATAACGAGGACCCAACACCACAGGATGGTAGGGATTTGTTCCAGAGTTTCACGGATTGAGGGCGGTTCCTTTTCAACATGTGGTTCTCGCTTTAGCGCCGCGCACATTCTTATTACAAATGGGCAAGGGTTCCACGGATTTTCATGATCAATGTGCCAGAATTGTGTTTTGGAAGGATGTGGAATTTTGAGGGCGCAACAGTTACGTTGATTCGCAGTGTGGAAGTCCCAGGAATGGCATTCTGGCACGGTCCTAGATCGTCCAGACGCAACAGTCAGGTTGATCCGTAGCGTTGGAATCCCGAGAACAATGTTTGGCATGCTTCAGGGTCTTCAAACAGTTGTCTTCCAGCGAGGCAGCTCTTTCTGTGGAAAAGAACCGTTGTAGGGGCCTATGAAGAGGGAGCGTGGAGGGAGGGTTTGTTCACACATCGTCGATGACTCTCGAGTTTACACTTGTCCTGCTCCTCTTCTTCCCCCTCCCCTTGCAGCTGCGGCCCCGAGCACTCCCCTGGGCGCGGCCGCTCCAGTTCCCCCCTGCCAGGGAACGCCAGCCACCCACCTCGCCGATCTTGGGCCCAACGCTCGAGGGCGTCCCGGGTGGGAGTGAGGATTTGTGGCGTATAGGTATCATGGCCAGGATCGCGGCATCTCTCAGGTTTCATGCCCCCCTTCTGTCAGTCCGTTCCATGGCCCCCCCCACGTGCGCGCACAGGCCTCCAGCCGGGCCATCATGCCCTAACAGCTTTCGTCCTGTCCCCGCTCTTCGGCGCACCCGAAAGATCGGTGGACGGCAGGTTCCTGTCGTGTGGACAAGGCGGCGACCTCAGCGCGGGCGGTCAAGGTTGAGCGCGAGCCGTCTGATATCGATCACTCTGTGCTGTCCGTAAGCCGCCGCCGTTGAAGAATGAACGATCCACGCGATGGCATAAACCAACGCGTAAGTCATCCCGAGACGAGCCTGTCGTACGTGCCTCCCTGGGACGGACTCGGCCAGGATCGGTGTCGCCCGACCCCTCGACCTGCGCGCGAGGCGTCCTTGCTCGCCCTCGTCTATACGATCGCGCTGGCCTCCGCCGACAAGGGAGACGAACACGATTGTTCCGCCGCCCCGCCCTGTGGGAAAGGGCAGTGAGCGGCAGTTGCCAGAGATGGTCCTGACATGTCCTGACCAACTGTGGCCCCAGGCTTTTCAAGGAGGCCCAAGGGCCTCAAAGGCCCCTCACGAGGCCTAGGGGCCTTCAAGGGTCCCAGGACGGGCCGGGAAGCCTGGGCCACCTCAGGCCAGGGCCACCCTGGCCTGAGGTTCGGAGGTGGACCTCCCTGGCGTTGCCTGCGGCGCCCGTTTCTGCACGCTTCGTGTGTCAAGGGAGGGGATCAAGCGCCGACGTTAAGACTCCGCGCGGACATCCGACAGTTTATGTTTGCGCCGTTTTTGTCCCAACCCTCCTGTCTTGAGTTCTCGTTTGGCAAGAATCCTGCTGAAGTCTGCAGTCTCTTCTTTCATCGCGCCTCCCTCCTGCTTCGTCCTCCTGACTCCTACGTCCTACCCGCCTCCCTCGTAACTCCCTGCTACCTCGCAGTCGCAGGGAGCTGCGAATTGCGAATCTGTCGGCACTTCTGTAGGCTCCTGGGGGGCCCAGCGGGGTGGGTACACCGCGGATACCTATATGAGATCTTGCCGTCCCCATGGGGCTGCGAGCTGCGAGGCTGTTGCCACTTTCGTGAGCTGCTGGGAGGCCCAGCGGAGTGCGTACACCACGAGATTCCAGGTTAGACCTCGCCGTCCTCTGGGGGCTCCGAGCCGCAAAGCTGCCGCCATTTTTGTGAGCTGCGTGGAGGCCCAGCGGAGTGGGTCGGAGGTGAGGGGGCGAGATCGAAGTGGAACGGAGAGCCCCCCTACCGGCAAATCGGTTTCGGTTTCGTGTTCGTGCGTGCCGTGCGTGCGGGCGAGGCGAAGCTGCGTTGGCGGGCGAGAAGAAAGTCTCCTCCAACTGAGGCGCGGCCAGACCAAAAATTCCTCTCCGGTGGCCGGTGGCCTGCGGTGTCCCGCCGATATCCCGCCTCCGGCTGAGGCGCGGCTGGACCAAATGATTCCTCTCCGGGGGCCGGTGACCCGCCATGTCCCGCCGGTGTCCCGCCGGTGTCCCGTCGGTGTCCCGATGATGATGATGATGATGATGATGATGATGATGATGATGATGATGATGATGATGATGATGATGATGATGATGATGATGATGATGATGATGATGATGATGATGATGATGATGATGATGATGATGGTGGTGATGGTGGTGATGATGATGGTGTCCCGATGCTGATGATGATGATGATTATGGTAATGATGATGATGATGATGTTGATGATGTTGATGATGATGCTGATGATGGTGTCCCGATGATGATAATGATGATGATGCTTATGATGCTGATGATGATGATGATGATGTTGCTGATGATGAGTCTGGTGTCCCGATGATGATGATGATGGTGATGATGATGATGATGACGATGATGCTGTCCCGATGATGATGACGATGATGATGTCGATGATGAGGATGAGGATGAGGTGATGATGATGATTTTGATGATGGTGGCCCGATGATGGTGATGATTATGCTGATGTTGATGATGATGGTGGTGTCCCGATGATGATGACGGTGATGATGATGGTGTTGATGATGGTGTCCCGATGATGATGATGTTGATGCTGTTGTTCATGATGATCATGGAATGATGATGAATATGATGGTGTCCCGATCATGATGATGATGGTTTCCCGGTGATGATGTTGATGATGCTGGTGATGATGATGGGTGTCCCGATGATGATGACCAAATCGTCATCGTCATCGTCGTCATCATCGTCGTCGTCGTCGTCGTAGTCGTAGTCGTAGTCGTAGTCGTAGTCGTAATCGTAATCGTAGTAGTAGTAGTAGTAGTAGTAGTAGTAGTAGTAGTAGTAGTAGTAGTAGTAGTAGTAGTAGTAGTAGTAGTAGTAGTAGTCGTCGTAGTAGTAGTAGTAGTAGTAGTAGTCGTGGTAGTAGTAGTAGTAGTAGTAGTAGTAGTAGTAGTAGTAGTAGTCGTCAACTACGAGTGGTAGAGGTAGTGGCAGTGAGTCCTTTATGAATCACTTCTCCCTGTCGCTGGGCGTTTCGCTTGAGACTTCCTCGCAAAGTCTGGCTCTGAAGCTTAAACACTTGCGAGGGCTCCACAGATGGAGGGCGGGTGGCTTTCAAAATGTAGCTCCCGTCATAGCGCGGAGCACGTTTGTTGTGAAACTTTGCAAGAGCTTCACGGGTTGAGGGTGGGTCGTTGTCAACATGTGGTTCTCGCTTTAGCGCGGCGCAGATGCGTTTATATGTTTTACAAGGGTTTCACAGATTGAGGGCGGGTGGTTTTCAAAATTTGGCTCTCGCCTTAGCTCGGCGCACACTCGTTTGTAAACTTCACCAGAGCTTCGTGGATTGAGGGCGGGCGCTTTTCAACATGTGTTTCTCGATTTCGCGCGGCGCACTCTCGTCTATAACATTGGCAAACAACTTCACGTATTGAGGGCGGGTGGTTTTCAAAATGTGGTTCTCGCCCTAGCGCGGCGCGCATTCGTTTTAAATCGTGGCCAGAGTTTCACGGATTGAGGGCCGTTCCTTTTTAGCATGTGGCTCTCGCTTTAGCGCCGCGCACGTTCGTTTACAAAATTTAAAAGGGGTTCGCGGATTCCCACCATCAACTTACCAAACCTAGTGTTTTGAAAAGGGTTCAGGATTCCGCGGGCGCAACCGTTACGCTGATTCGCTGTGTTGAAATCTCAGGGATGGAGTTTTGGCACGGTTCAGGATCGTCAACACGCAACAGTCAGGTTGATCCGTGACGCTGGAAGCCCGAGGACAGTGTTTTGGCATGCTTCAGGGTCTTCAAACGGATGTCTTCCAACGAGGCAGGTCCCCAAATGGAAATGAATTGTTGCAGAGGCCTGCGAAGAGGGAGCTTGGTGGGAAGGTTTATCCCAACATCGTTGATGACTCTTGGGTTTACACTGGTCCTCCTCCTCGTCAGCCTCCTCCTCCTCCTCCTCCTCCTCCGTCCTCCTCCCTCCGTCTTTCCCCTCCCCGTCCTCATCTTCACAGTCTTTTGTTTCTTCTCACTCCCCCCCCCGTCGTCGTCGTCGTCGTCGTCGTCGTCGTCGTCGTCGTCGTCGTCGTCGTCGTCGTCGTCGTCGTCGTCGTCGTCGTCGTCGTCGTCGTCGTGGTCGTCCTCCTCGTCGCCATCGTCGCCCTCGTTACCGTCGTCGCCCTCCTCCTCCTCCTCCTTCAACTCCTTTAGATCTTTCTCGAGGAGGAAGAGTAAGAGGATCATTCTCTCCCTTCTGCTGCTCCTCCTCCTCCTTGGGACAAGGAGCTGGGTACGGTCGGGCGTTGACAGAGGTGGCCCTGTCCCGTGGGGGGCTCAGCTTTTCGCACCATTTTGGAACCTGATCCTCCATCGAAAAGGAGGGGTTACCCCGAGCCAGGGCAATCTCCCAAGATCTTCGACTTTGTTTTTTTCCCGCAGCGTGTGACCCCCAGAGGTCGTTCCTTCCCCAGCGGGAGGGTTCGTCCACCCCGGGTCGTTCTTTGACGGCCCAACGTCTCCAGTCGTGTTTTTATCTTGTTCGGCGAGGGGAGGCTTTACGTTGCATCTTCGGAGGATATCGTCTGTCCCCCACATTGGTGTCTTTTCTGGTGCCCGACGCGATCTCGCTGCGGACTCGACGCGAATTTGGTGTGGTTCGATGCGGATTCGACGTGGACTCGACGCGGATCTGACGAGTCCGACATGCGATTCGACACGGATTCGACGCGGATCGATGCGCGACGGGACAGACAATGTTATCGTGTCTTGTGTTTGTGTCTTGTCTTTCAACTTCAAAGCCGTGCTGGACTCAGTCACTAGACTGCCTGACCGCCCTCCCGAATGTAGCAGTCAAGCTGCCGACACCGTGCGTGTCTGAGTCCTTACGAGGGAAAAAAGAAACAAGAATGACAGACCAGCTCCCCCCAAGATGCAAGAGAAGAGTTCCGGGTGCGGCAGCACCTGTTACGCGGCGTCGGCGGGGAGGCTCCTCGGGGCTCAGCAAGTGGAAGGCGACCTGGAGCGACTCCAGAAAGGCCCCGGCCGCTCCGCCGTGCCGCGCCTGCCAGCCGCGCGTGGGCCGCGCCTGGGCCAGGGTGGCGGCCCGGAATAGGCGAGGGCGAGCAGGATCGAGGAGGAGGGAGGGAGGAGGAGGGGAGAGGGAGGAGGAAGGCGAGAGGAGGAGGAGGAGGAGGAGGAGGAGGAGGAGGAGGAGGAGGAGGAGGAGGAGGAGGAGGAGGGGACCGGGAGGAGGAGGTGGAGGAGGAGGGATTTGTTCCTCCCCCTGGGGTTTGGTCTGAGGATGCCAAGCATCGGTGCAAACCCCGCTGGCTTGTGCGGTGACATGTGCCGTAATTAACTCGCTGGCCTGCGCAGGAGCGAGCGCTCTCCGAGACCCAGGAGGGGTTTCGGAAAGCCCACGCTCCACCCCCGCGGGGACAGCTCGACCCAAGAATTCACGAAAGCCCAGAGGAAGCGCCCACAACCCCTCACGGAAAACGCACGCCCCAGAAGCCGCAGACCCAGGAGAGCCCAGGAGGAGGGAAGAGGAAGGAGGGAGGAGAGGAGGAGGAGTGGTGGTGGTGATGACAATGACGCCGACGATGATGACGATCAGGACGATGAGGACGACGACGACGACGACGACGACGTCGACGACGAGGATGATGATGATGATGATGATGATGATGACGATGACGATGACGATGATGATGATGGTGATGATGAGGATGATGATGGTGATGATGATGGTGATGAATGCTGATGATGACGATTGTGGTGGTGGTGATGATGCTGCTGATGATGATGGAGGCGGTGGGAATGGGAAGGAGGATGATAAAGGTGATGATGATGATGATGATGCTGATGATGATGACGATGATGATGATGATGATGATGATGATGATGATGATGATGATTGTGAGGGTCATGATGATGATGATGCTGCTGACGATGACGGCGACTATGACCACGACAACGACGACGACTACGATCAAGACGATGACGCATATAACGACGACGATCACGGCAACGACGATTACGACGTCGGTGGTGGTGGTTGTGATGGTGATGATGATGAGGAGGATGAGATGATGATGAGGAGGAGGATTATGATGATGATGAGTATGGTGATGATGATGACGATGCTATGAGGATGATGCTGATGATATGAGGATAAAGCTGATGATGCAACTGGTGATGATGATGGTGGTTGTGCTGCTTCTGCTGCTGATGATGATTATGATGATGATGACGATAGCGATGATGGTGACGTCGACGATGATGACGATAATAACGATGCTGATGACGACGATGATTAGGATGCTTATGATGATGATGGTTGTGGTGACGATGATGTTGATGAGGGTCGTGTTTATGATAAATAGGATGATGCTGATGATGTCGACGATGATGCTGGTGATGATGGCGATGCTAACGGTTATGAGGATGCTGATGATGGTAATGGTTATGATGATGACGACAATGATGTTGGTGATATTATTGTCGATGATGATGATGCTGATGATGATGCTGGTGACGGTGATGATGGCGATCTTGATGATGATGCTGATGTTTGTGACGATGATGATGCTGATGATGATGATGGCGATGATTAAGCTGATCATGCTGATGATGATGATGACGTGGGTGCTGATTCTGATGCTGATGGTGCTGTCGACGATGATGATGGTACTGACGACGATGATGACGATGATGGCGATGCTGATGATGATGATGTGCGGTTGATAATGATGATGTCGATCAGGATGATGCGGATGGTGATGATGATTGTCATCATCATAATGATGTTGATGATGGTGAGGATGCTGCTGCTGATGGTGATGCTGATGATGCTGATGGTGATTGTGATGATGATGATGATGATGATGATGATGGCGAGCTGGATAATTAGGATGATGATGCTGCTGACGATGCTGACAATGCTGATGATGATGGCGACGACGGCAACGTTGACGATGCTGGTGCGGTTGATGATGGTGCTGCTGCAGTCAATGTGCTCCTCCCCGCGCCATCTGCCTGCTGCCGCCGCCTTCACTTGCCGCCGCCGTACTCTTCGCAGCTGCGTCAAGGAACGTGCTCGCTTTCGCGCGCGTCGGCCGGCGAGCCGGCCTCTTCCTTGCAGGGGTATTCTACAGTCATCTTATCGGAACATTCTTTCCTCGCCATGGCTTCGGCGGAGCCCCTTGATCATTAGACACTATCGTAAGATATAGCAGGGATTATCAATGACCAGGCAAAAAGCTGGTCATCAGCCGAAACGACGGCTCAGCCGTTGGCTTCGCTGAGCAGGGGATCGCAGGAAGGCGCGCTCGGATAAGTAGAACAACAACCACCTCCCGAGCGCATGAATAAGAAAGGCGCCTCTAGGGGGCGGTCTCGTTCTTTCAATCTCCCCAGAAAGCGAGCATTGGAGTCTGTGTTTGATTTGGCAGAGGGAGATTCCCCTATGGATAACCAGACGAAGACAAGAGCTCAAACGCCGGGCGGAGGGCATGGCTCAGCCAGTGCTTCCGTCAGAAGGCCATCTGAAATCGCATCAGAGCACTCGAGCCCACGGACGTCGGTTAATTCGATCCATGGAGAGGAGATATCGCCGGGACATGTTTCCATCGGCATGGCGGGTGGAGAACGTCGGGGCGAGGGGCAAGCGACGCAGTTGACGATGAATGGACAGGGCGAAGACGAGAGGGACGGACAGTCAGAGGAAGAGAGCTCACATTCGATTGAAAAGACCGAAGCATATGTACAAATTCATATGTCGCCAGGCCCATCACATCATCTCAATCCTCTCCCGGGCGAACCTGACGGGCTCGCCTCAGGCGTAGACCTGTCGGATACAAAGGCGATTGATTGCGCGCCGGCTGGGGGCCTTCGGAAGACTCCCCTTGATTTGGGTGTCGAGCTCGTGTATGAAATGACCGCCGACAGTGGGGGAGTTGGCCATGGAAGGGGGAGTCCGTCGGCTCAGCCGATAGAGAATTCGCCCGATGCCACGCGTCCAGCTCGGCACGCGAGAGAAACGACCTGCGCGACTCCGCCCCCGAAGACGAAGAGGACCAAGAGCGATGCAGATAATCTTAATCCTCCACCGTTATCGCAGGGTTTTTATCGACCAGATCTCGCGCTACCAAGGGCTGACCGCGACAGTGCGCCATATCATGGCGAGCACATTATGCAAACGAAAGGGATGAGCAAACGCAGAGCCAACGCGATACTCTTAGGAGCAATGGGGTCGAGAACGAGGGAGCAGCGTACACCTGCATCCAGCAGGGGTCGTGAAAAATGCTCCAGGAACTGGGCGCTCCAGCTCCGGGGGATTTGATGTCCTCGGATCACCTCGCCCATTGTCGAATAAGACCTCCATCGGTTTTTCGACCCGGGGCAGCCGCTGGAACGCGGGCCCCAGATGCCCGCCTCGGGCGGAGAATCGCTGCCCGGGGAAAGCGCGCAAACCGGGGGGGGCTCGCGTCGCCGACCTGCATGCGCGCAGTGTTCGAGGGTGTGCCCGAGATATAGTTTAGCGTGGTTCTGTGGAGAACGATGCATTGCGCTTGGGGAACATAATTGCCGTCGCATCGCCATGAATGGGAAGACAACATTAGCGGGGCAGGGAGCAGCTGAGGGCGGCCAGTGCGCCGATGCAACATATTCTTCTTCAGGCATATGCGGATGAGACGGCCGCCGCAGAAGCCAGCCGAAAGCTCGCCGAAGCCGAGGCAGAACAGAGGGCAATGGCAGATAGAGCTGACAAGGAAAAGGCTGCCATTTCAGAAGGCGCGCAGGAACGGATGCTGCAAGCGGAGGCGGAACTTGCCGGGGTTGCGGGCGCGGCCCAGCGGCGCCTCGCCCAGGAGGAGGAAGAAAAGGGGAATATTCAGAGTGCGACCGAAGAAATGTTATCATCGTCTCAGCAGCAAGACGATGCAGAGCGAGTTGAATATCACATGATAGACGAAAACGGATGCCGCCAGACGGGGAAGGGCGCCAGCTGCTGAGACCCCGCCAGAGCGCTGCAAACGGGAGATGAGGGAGATGTGCCCTGAGAACGAAACAGGAGGAGAAGTCCCCTGTGAGAGGGGAGACAAAGGGGGAACGCACCCTCCTATGGGAGATCACGGCGCGCGCAGATGGCCCGTCAAACTGTTGCACCATGCCGCGGCCATTGCTGCGAAGGGCGAGGAAAGAACCGCGTTCCTAAAGCCCATGGGGGCGGAGAAATTGCTGGGCAGTGGTTAGGGCCCGAAAATCTCATGGCCAGGAGAAGAGTGCGAAGACAATGTGCGACAAATGCAGATCCACGCCGGCAAAATTGCGCATGGTTCTGTTTATGATCGGCTGAATAAGTCAGTTCAGGGGAACATGTGGTTGGCAGAACAAATGCTCCAGCGGTCTACCCGTAGACCGACCCCTTCTGCTGAATCCTTGGTCCCAGATTGGGCAAGTTCTTCATTGCGCGACGTGGTCGCTCGGTGTCAGGATAACCCAGATCCATTGCCGACCGCGTCATGTGGGGGAAGGCGGCAATTCAGGAGCACACAGAGAAAGACTCTTGCGTTCAGCTGACACTTCCTCTCAGCGTAAAAGACAAGAAGATGGAGCTGATTTCTGGAAGTGTCTGGCAAAGGCAGTCTCATGGAACCTCAGCAGGAATGCTTCGCGCCCTGCTAGAGGGGCGCCGACTCCGCATCGGATCCCAAGTGCGGTGGGCACGTGAAGCAGGGCAATGTTGGGTTATACTTGTTCTCCAATGAGGAGGGTAACCCTTCTGTTCGCGCGAAGTGCAGGATGGCGGAGGAGACATTTTCCGACGGCTATTGGAACGCTGTAGAGATCGTGTTTTGGAGCAACCCGATGAGCGTCGCTGCCGGCAACAGTCCGATTCAAAGTGCGCGAAGGATCCAGCCGATATTGTTTTTTCCGAGATGCGTATCTACCAGTGGGCCCCTGCCGCTCTTCATGTGAATTGTGGCATTTGGGCGTTGATGCGACATCTTCTCCGAGATGGCGAAGGAAG